AGTTAGTCTACTTCTACTACTGTGTCTAGCCAGTCTAGGTGACGGTTTTGGGAGGCGAAGCCCCTCCCTCTCCTTCCACAGCCTTTTACCTCCATAACTGAAGTCAGGTACCCATTTTACACCTGGCCGGAGTGAAGAAAGTCGTGTGAAGTGCAAGGACACAACGAATCTCAAGGAATGACAGGAATGGAACCCGCGTGACCTGGTGTCCGCTCGCCTCTCCACTCAGCCATTCGACGCCACACGTACACGCCATTTATATGCGAACAGCGTTAACACTCCAAAACACGGCACGACATCTCTGTCCGTGTCGATCCAGACGTGTATCTGTCATGCAGACTAAATAATGCCGTGTATTGTACCTCCCATTTACAGACTGAACCCAGACTTCCCGGGCCATTAGTGGCCCTGGCACTGGTACAAACTTCTTAGTACCGAGAATACTAACTCCAACCAGAACTCAAGAAGAGGACGTCATTTTCAAGACGACTTTTGACAAAACCTCTACGAGACGTTTTGTAAGAGAACTAGTGTTAAAGATCATTGACCGGTCTTTATGTCTGCATAAACATGTTCAAGCACCCTATACCAACTGTTTATCCGATGTACTAAAATATGCTTTTTTTTTATTTAGAACATTACGATTTAAAAAAAAAGGATGGTATTCAACTCCTCGAGTTGTATCTTTCTTGCTTCTGGTTTGTAGAATGAACTGAAGATTCAAATCGTATATGATACAGAAAAAAGAGGGAGCATACAACTAAAGTAGTAGCAAACACAAATGTCTGTATATATGTGTTTTACAGCCGAAGCATGAAATAGGACACGTAAACCAATTCACAAAGGGAAACGACGCGTCGACGTTATCAAGCTAAAAGCTGAAAGAAGATGAAATGAAATTAAAATTCTACCGTGTTCGTGAGCGTGGGTGCTGAAGATAAAGTGTGTGTTCACGGAAGGGGGTGTCTACACATTCGATAATACCAAACCATACATCTACCTCAAAGTTTTGCGATATTGACGAACGAAATGTGTCACTTAGAATGTGTACAACATGCTTCCGGCTATAAGATTTACACGTCTGGCAGATAGCAGCATGAGATGGATGAGTACGTAAAGCGTCACGCTTGTGCTGCGAACAATGCTGACGAGAAAGCCTACATCAAAGACAGAAGATTAAGTGCAGAACGACAAGAGTAATGCCGTCCTGTGCGTCCCACTATCCAGCCAACCCTCCGCGATCCATTAGTAATGGACGGGTGGCGGCGCAGGAGGTTGGCATGCCGGTGGAAAGTACTTCCCGCTGCGGAAAAAATCGGCCGCACAGACTTCCCTTCAACTCGGCTTTGGGCCATCCTGACAGATAGCAGTTGTGTAATGGAAGAGTTGGCACAGAAACCCGGAAGTATCCGACTCTCTCGTGTCTGCAAATGAGTAGCTTTGATATTGTGTTTTCTATCTGAATTTGTATCGTGGACATGTTGTGAGGCTACCGTCCAGTTTTCAGACGGTGTGCTTGTATGACGTAGCAGGAAATACATTCTTCTGACGGTTGACCAGATGTGATACAATATCCTAGAATCACCATGGACGTTGTACCGGTACATAATGATATCCTATTCAACTGTTGTGGAAATATCATTAATTTCAGCATGCAGGCCGAAACTACATCATATTATACTATAGTCTTTTAAGTAGTAGATCTTTGATCTACTATCCCTTTCCTTCGTAGAAAGAAGAAAGTCGTGCAGAATGAAACTGGCTGCACACTGCGCCAGACAACCTGACTAGCATCCAAGCTTGAGCTTGTCCTTGGAGAACCCACAAAAGACTAAAGAAGTCGAGGGAGACCTAGGGTTAACTTCATCGACAGTCTCAGATCAGAAACCAGTCTGACAGAAGTAAAGGAAATCCAATCTCTGATGGAGGATAAAGTGAAGTTGGGACGCTTTCAAGTTTGGCTCGAGCGGTAGTTAGTCCAAAGTAAAGTCAAGTGAGTAGAGAAGAAGAACCTTTTGTTGCTAAGAGAACTTTTTCAAGAGCAAGCGCCAGAGGACCTGTCATTTGATCTGATGTCTCACGCTTTGGCCATTTTCATGAACATGCCTGACTCCGTCTGGGCGCTGTGCTTGGCGTGTGTTCACCTTCTACATTGTTGGTCGATAACCTTAGCAAAATCTGTGACGCCTGGACGTACCTTGTACTACGTATCATGGGGAAAATAAGTAGCCGGGTGCGTCTGAATTAGAAAATCCCGGGGCCATTTCAGTCCACTGAGTTGACAGACCATGCAAGCTTTCCGCTGTGGTAGTCAAAGTCTTAAGTACCACACTAGAGTCGAAACGAAAGTAAAAAGCCTCCCGAACGATCATGAAGACCTTAAACAAGACAAACTCGAACGTAAATGGGCAGTGTGACGCACACGTTAATTATTTTACACGGCCCGGTGCTCAACATTTTACAACCGTTTGGACTTTAAGAGGTAACTCTAGAGAGATGGTTAAGTCTTAAAACAACGTGACGCAACAGGCCGGAGGTGGAACATAAAATCATGAAAGCCGCTGATACCTACAATCAAATACAAGGACACAAGGAACGTTACAAAAGGTCATATGACATCTAGGGGACGATAAAAACCCAAAAGTAATAAAGAAAACGTGTATGAAACAAAGGTCGCAGTGCCGGAGGATGATATTTCGACCCTGACCTAGAAGTAATAACGGGGAAACGTGTGATCTACAACTTACCAGGAGACAGCCGAAGGGTAAGATTTGTCTCAGGCCGTGCCTGAAACTTAATCTTCGCCAACATTCTAGCGCTTGCTTTGAAGTTATCTCACCTACAAAAATCATTTTAAAACATTTATGACTTTTGTATCGGGTTTCTTGTTCTCGAGCCAGTAGATTGACAAACGCTGGGGAAAATACAAGGAAGATATTAATTTTTTATATGTCCTCACTTTCCACGGCGGTACGTACAGCTATGTACAGGCAGTTTGATAGGAGGAAGTGTTCAATCTTGCTGTACGTACTTGTCAAGCGGTGATACGACCTCTGTTTATCCCGTCTGATGTTTCTGAGAAAGCCGCTGTGGTCTCTGACAGAGCCGTGCACACCATCAATCACGATACATCTTCGTCACCTCGCAGAGAACAACTTGTGACATTTCCTCGCCGGAACTGCGCCGGGTTCCGTCAACTTGGTCCAGCGTAATCAATTTTCGACATGTTGGCCGTGTTTGGCGGATTATCCCAAAATTGCGGGCTGTGAGGTAAAAATCGCGACGTGTCAGACCGGCTGTAGATAGATGCTGACACTGATGATATATGAGTGGTAGGCTTGTTCAGAAATACATAAAAAATATCACAGTACGATGTAGCGTTAGGCTGGTGCTACGAGAATCTATTATACTTTCACAGTTTTTTTCTACAACATCTTTGAACTTTGACACCCATTGCTGTACACTTCAACTACCACCAGGTCCATACTTACATGCGAGGAAGTGCTACAACTAACTTACTTCCCCCTCGGTGTCCCAAATTAATGACCACCATAAATAAGTCAAACTTCGTCAGCCCTCTAACACAGCTCCCTTTCAAGTCTTTTGAAGTTGGGTTGATTACATGCAGGGTATGAACTTTAAAGTTACTTTATACCACCATGCCTGACACGTGAGATAGTGGTGCTCTTTTCAACCTAATTAACGCTGGGCGCCTCAGGATCACGTACAATCTTACAGGAAAGTAATATAGCCCCCTAATGTTTGGTATTATTTGTACACTGCAACCAAGCATTAGTCTAAAAACTATACGTTTCCTGCTAATGCCACCATATAATATTTCGTCTTCTTTTTTAAATTAACACTGTGTTTTCTTGAGCAGCATGTTGCTTTAGTCCCTCCGGGAATTTTCTGTGATAGATTACAGGAACTCTATATATTCTCAGTGTGCTGGGCGGACTATTCAATCAAGTATGTCTGTAATAAAGTGCCAGAGCCTAGAGTGGTAATCTATTTGGGGAGTACTTTGACGTAGCGGGCGTCATTGAAAAGTGCTCTCTCAGCAGTTAGCGACGGCAGTCTGTCGCTGGATTGTGAGACAAAAGATAATGAAGAGGCAGTCTGAATGCGTGGTTTGAAGTAGAGAAGGAAACTTACTACGTGTATAGGCATTCTTGTGATCATTAGCGCACAGGGTAAAGGCCTTCAATCCCATGATGTTACCCAACCGGAGAATGTTAAGTTTCAATCCTCAACGAGACGAGATGTTCATTCACGAGCCGCAGGGTGGCGCTTTACACAAGTACATTTTGTACTTCCATGTGAGAAGCAGAAGATGGCCGTGTGCCCTGCTTGCCAAACTATTGTAGTGCATTTAGTCGATTACTGTGATAGCATTGGCTTATTGGAACACATAACGCTAGTACTAGTTGAATCGTGGACAAAGCAGCGAAAGATGCATTATAAAAAAAGGTAAATAGTATTCTAAATGGTGCATATGTCGGTACCTGTCCTTGGTGCTGAATGGCGAAAAAAGTGACAAAGGTGTCCCAAGGGTCCACCTAACGATATCGTAGTAACAGAACTGCAAAACAGGAAATTTCTGAAATGAATAGTTACTCACCAGTCAAGTTTTGAATAGAGAATGATTTTTTCATGCATAGTGCAACCCCTAGCTTGCCTATGCGTCAGTAATACCACATAATGTGTGCCGTATGCGATGGCACAAATTGTGACGTTTTGACCATTGATTCTACCAAGGAGCTTTTACACAGCTTATACACAGTTTATATGGAGCTTAGTCGATGCAACGGACAAGGACAGGAACAAACTGAAGAAATAAGGATTTCAGCTGCAGAACGTTTCCATGGCTAGGTGCTGACCCAGTAGATGATGATGATGATGATGATGAATCTGTCATGGATGGCTCAAAGGTCAAAGGTGACCTCGGCCGTACCTGATGATCCACCAGCAACAGTCTTTTTATGACGTCATCATTGGTTGGTCAGGCATGAGCCGTCTTTACACTGTCATATTTGCAGTAACTATCGTCAACAGATCAAAATGAATGCTCTTCAGATTGTTTGGTCACGGTTTATTTGGATTCCATCCTTCAATGCAAAAATGTACGGCCCCATGAATAAAGTAGACCACGCCGTTGACCCCGTGACCCGAAGATGGCCGACTGCCAACACCTGAGAATGTGACTGGCAGAAATAAACGTCTGCGTAGTTCCCACAAATGACGTTTGTTTCAGGTAAGACGAGTTCATAGTGATCACTAGTGGTTTAGTTTTCGTTTGCGACCTGTTAGAATACTTTGTTTATTGTTCCCGACGAATTTTAATCAGCCTTTTGCGTTGGGGAGGGGGGCGGTGGCCGTCATAAAATGTTTTATGACGATGGGTTATTTTTCAGCAGAAGATTTTGTTCTGCAACTGGTATATTACGCCGAAGGGTGGTCATACAGGTTATACAGATGAAGATTCAGATGCATAACATGTCATGAAAAAAGAAATATTTCAACTCTAGAGATGCCTGTTTTCCTTTTCATATTTGTGGCATGAGCCCTTTGCTGCATAGCCATCATAATGACGTTCACAGATAAGAGAGCGCATGTCCGGTGTCAAGGAGGCCCCAGACGTAAACAGAGCGCGTTAAACACACTTACATTAACTTGCATTTTGATGTTTTTGTGTTGCATTTCTAATTCTTCATTTTGACCAGGCCCAGGTTTTGACGGGGCTATTGCTGTGACACGTTTTGTTTACCTCTTGGGAGCCTTTGGCACAGGGTATACACTCTCTTATTTGTGCACGTCCTTATATGTACAGCACTGGAGTGAGACATTATGAAGTTACGAGTGAAGATCAGTGGAGAGAAGACACGAGTAGACGTGGGACAGGACTGTCGCACACTGGGCACGCTCAGAAGCCTGCTGGCTCCTGTCCTGTCTCAACAGTTTGGACTTGGGTAAGAAACACAACTGTTGTCTGTTATTCTTAATAATTTATATGCATTCTAGACAATATACTAGCAGCTTAAATTTTTCATTTGTTAATTAGTAGGTTCAAAAATACCAGTGCACATTCCCAGTGTTAAAGGTGAGGCCCAAAACATAAACAAAGCACGTGAGATCATATGCTCCTTGGCTTAACACATGTCATGTTTGTTTACATCTCAGAAGCCTTGAACATACTAGTACATGTATTACCCAGTTATTTTGTTCTTTGTGCCATGCTCTCTTTTGTGTGCATTTTTTAAAGAAACAATAAAAAGAATGATTTATAAAAAAATATATTACCCACAATGCAACACACTGCACATGTGCCTTTCTATTTTCCTGTTTGTTGCTTACAGTAGTGGCCCTCGCTTTTATGTATTTGTAGTGTAGTCAAAATTGACACTGATTGTTGATAAACTTTTTTTTCCATTTTCAGAGATGACAGGTCATTTGAGATAAGCTTGAATGGTCGAGATGCGCTTGTTGGTGACGACAAACCCCTTTCTGATCTCGGTATCGTCTCTGGCGACCTCATACATATCCTCCTACCAGCCGCTGACCCCCAGCCTTCAACCAATCACAACACTCATCCACAGGCACAGGACCACTCCTCCCCAGAACACCCCCAGGCTCCCACCAATCACAGAGCTCGGGATCATTCCTCCCCAGATCAAGCTAGTGGACTGAGGGGTGAAACAGATGACACGAAAAAAGCAAAAAATGCTGCAACCTGCGGAAACGATGCCAAACCAGCCAACCAAGAGGATACAAGTACATCTGACTCAGTACAGGCAGACACCCTTGTTAAGGAGGATGAGAAAGAAAGTGTGTTGATGGACAAAGAAGAAGAATCAGCAGACAATAATGGAGATGACAAAGGACTTGAGATGGATGTGGAGGAAGAGGGAGCTGAGAGCCTATCAATGGAAGGCGCGGGGGTGGGAGGGGTCCCCTCTGAACCGATGTTGTGTCGGGAAGCCACGGTAGACTCCGTGCCACTGGTCCTACAACAAGTCTACCGTGCCAATGATGTCAGGAGCAGACATGACGCCCTGTGTGTGGTGCTGCATGTGCTCATGATGGAAAGTGGATTCTCAGCAAAGGTGAGAGGAAAAGACTTTTTGACAGATACAAAATTATAATCTCCAAGCAGATCTTTTGGTGGCTTCAGGGCAGTATCAAGTTGGCAAGACAGTATCAAATTGGCAGGTTGGAAAAAAAAAAGATACGGGTACAAAAAAGAAAGACAGACAAAAACTCCTAAATAGAAATAAGCTGAAGCCTAAACCTCTGGGAGAGTAGCAAAATTATAAAATGTAAAGAGGGAGTCAAAATAAGTTTAGTACAATTCCCCTTATAAATTTGATTTTAATATAACTAGAAACTGACCCCTTCAATGATTCATATTTGTACCTGATATGTGTATGACTATGAATGAACTTCATGCATGTTCAGGACCCATCTTCTCCACAAGAGCAAGACAGCATCAATGGATTTACCCTTCCTCCTGGTTGGAAGTCACCAGGAATGTACAAGATGACCTACAGACACATGGCCTGTGAGGGGTCATCATGCAGTCTCACGCTGGTACCTATGGGGTCCCTTTTGATGGCTCATGGTAAGTAGCAGAGTTAGACGACTGGTATATTTAGGACAGACATGAGAGAGCAACACTACAGGTTTTATAGTGATGAGTGTAAAAGTTTGGGCTCTTATTACATTTACCCTCACAGAAGGAAAACATATTGTTTTTTCTCTGTTTCTTCCTCTTCAAACAAATGAGGTCAATGAACTGGACCAGATGGATGTTACCGTATATGGTGTTGGAATAAATAATGTAGCAAGCTGGCAGGACAAGCTGGAGGGACTGGTCGCTATATATAGGAATGTGTTTGAGCAAGGAGATTCAAACCTTCTTGGTTTGAGTCAGAATAGCAGAGCAATAATTGAAGGTAATTGTTACATTTCTAGTCCTGTTACCTTTCTTGTTTTGCAAATGGGACTTTTTGGGGATTGATGAAGATGAGACTAGACATGGATGCAGAAATGCTGATGCTATAATGAAATTGACATGTTGATCTACAGGTGTGGTTACAGGGAGCAATCCCAGCATGCACCACCAGGTCCAGCTGAGAACTGACAGTTTCACCTTCCATATTCTACAAGGTCAGAAGAATTCCATTTTAATCATCATCATCTTCAAAACTTACTCTGCATTGTAGTTGCTTGAAGTGACCACTACACATGTACCTGTCACATGTAACATTTTATATGTTACAGATTATCGACAATGTATTTTTGTTCCAACAAATGCAAATTTTCAGCATCAGCGTGCAAACACATCTAACCCTTAGACAAGCAGGGACCAACAGATGTCAAACCAAAGAGTGAATGAGGGAATAGATAATTGATTCCAAATTCTTTTCCAGACCCTAACAGAGCCTACAAGAATCTTCCCCAGTTGTCTAAGGTGTTTAAGGACTCTGTTGCTCAACCACTACTGGCTGACATGAGGCAATGTAAGTAAGAAGCAACATTTCTCCTTGTCCTGCTTATTAACCATAGGCAACATCAGCTACTGACGTGTAGTATGGAGTCATACATGCCCTTGTTTGCAAGGCATTTAAAGTCTTCATAATCCATAGGCAGCCGCTGTAAATCAACATAATTTAAGCCTCGATCGTTATTTAAGGTATTTCAGGTATATATTTAAACCTGCAGCAAACATTTTGCGTCATTCGTGATCACTACCCCCATGCAGGGCCCCTAGTGTATGTAACTAAAACTTACTTCTATATACAATATTCAACCTTACTACAGTAAAAATGGTGTTGTTCTCAACTTTGTACAGCAGTAAACAGTGCTTTAACATCAATGTTAACCTCCCTATAGTACTGGGTCTGCCTGCCCTGCATGGTCTTCTGGCCCTGTCAGCAGAAATTCAGGTGGGTCCTTTAGACTGTTTTCACCCAGGAAAATGAGTTAAAGAAGTGGAGGATAGGGCATGATTTTTATACATAGAGTCAAAGGAAATATACATGTAAACATGTTTTGAATATTCCGTTTTCTCATCATTCTCAAATCTTTTAAACTGAAGTAGCAGTGAAGAGAATCGTTTCCTAAAATTGTTTCCCTATAATCATTGCCTAAGTTGCAAAAACTAAAAGTGATGAAATCTGTCCACAGTTGATGGTGTTACAGCACCTTGATGTGTTAAGCCTGGTCAGACTGTCAGCTGTCTGTAAAGACTTGAACAGTGTTGCCAACGACCAAAGTCTCTGGAGATTCAGGTACCTGAGGGACTTTGGAGGTGAGTATTTGTGTGTCAATATGTCTGTACAGCATGCGCACGTCAACAGAACAAATTGCGTCTGTGCAAAACCTGCAAGGTATTTTGCATAGCAATTCAGCAGAACATCTCTTTTAAGGTTGTATTTTTGTATTTAAGGATGTCATATTGTCTATAGTTTTCAAATGTTGTGTTCAAAGACATTATAATTGATTGGAGTGATTTGAAACATAGTTATCTACTGTAATAATGTCATGTCTACACATTTTCTGAACAAGTCTTTTTGTACTTTATAGAGTTCAAAAATAAAACATCAACCCTGGATTGGAAAGAGGTAAGTAAGGAACAAAAAGACTACTTGTAGTTTGAATTTTTTCACTCTTTGTTTTATTACCTTTGATTGTTCATCATTCATACTTACAAATAGAAAAGATTGGGGTTATGTGTGTTATTCCATTGCAGTTGTACAAGAAGCACTACCAGGACCGTAAGAAGGCGCGGGAATGGATGCGTCACCAGCGATCCTTCCACCCCCCACCGCCCCCCTGGGCCATCCCCACCCCTCCCCACTCCTTCCCCCCAACCTACCCCCCTGGCTTCATCGGAGGGGACTATGACAGATACCCCCCTGGGATGCCCGGGGCATTCTTCCCCCCTGGGTTGGGGAGGGGGTTCAGCCCCTCTCAGCCGATCAGACCCCCTCCCCTGGGGCCCCGGTTTGACCCCATTGGTCCGTTACCCGAGCACCAGGTCATCCCGGGCCGTGGCATGAGGGACGGGCGGGGCAGGATGGGACCGTCTCCGTCATTCGGCTTCATGCCTAAATTCTTCTAACTACAGAAACCTCTACAACTGTCTGTAGCTTAGGACAAAGGCAAAATACTCATCTGTATTTTTGAATGTTACACAGTCTGGCATTAAAGGTGTTCAATCAAGCACTGTAAACTATGGGGTATTGAAAGTACAGGTCTAATCATGTTAACAACCATTTGTAAAATTAATGTGACCAGTGATGGTTGGTGTCAATAAAACAAGCAGCACTATTGAGCACAATGTGAGATGAGTTGATACTGTATATTCTAGAAAGTGTCAGAAGATTAACATAGTTAAGTTGTATAGAAAGTCCACAGGTCATTCAGTTGTGCTAAAGTGTGCTTGTAGGTAGATAAAAACAACTAACGTTACATGGTATGTTTTCAATAGGAGCGTAACCAGAAGTTCTGTTGCAGCTAATACTAGAGAAAAATGCGGCTGCCTTGCTTTTGGTTTCGCCAACACATGGTTACCAAATATCACAACGATCAACCGTCAAGTTTTGACTTGTCATCACATACATGCGCATAATCTAAAGGGCACCAAGATATGACCTCAAGAAGGGAGAGAATTATTATATAACTGGCATATGTAATGTGATTATACGTTGTCCAGACATTTCAGGGCAACCATTTTAGAGAAATTTTTTTCATCTTGTTATTTCATTTTTTAATGTCCCCTTTTTGGTATTGGCTCGCTAATAAGCCAAGCTATCTACAGTCGTGCATCCAAGACGCGTTTGCCTTCCATGATTGGTATCAATAAACAACGTTAACCAGGCAGTTACATGTTAAATAGAGCATTTCCCAGCTGGCGCTCGTCACGTGTTTTCCCGTGAGCCCACGGGTCACACATCCTGGCGTGGACGGCACACACGCACAGCACCGGGCGACTTCAGAGGAAGTGTTCAGAAGTCATTCCGTGTCAACTGAAGTCCCCAAACTCTAAAGATACTTTGCCTACACGGGAGTAGCTCCGGTACCGTTTCAGGTACGTTCGTTTGGTTCCATGTTCTCGGAGTCATGCAAAAGTAAGAATGATGTTACCTCATAGTCACCGTGTCATGAAGGCTTTACATTTATGTCATAATCATAATCTGAATACCAAGCGATCATGCTGGTGGGTAATGGCTTACAGCAGAATGTTGGCGTGTTGTACAGACATACACGGTGGATTCTGTAATCCAACATGGCGCAAGACGTGTCATAGGAAAACGAGGCCTACAATTCATTAAAAACGAGGTACAACTCATTACAAAAAGTCGACTTTTTCTTAAGTAAATGCTATGGGGTTCCGTAAACTTGTATGTATCATTTCCCGCAGTTGAAAACGACCATGCAGACTCAGGTGTATATCGTCCTCACGTGTGCCGTGCTGTGCTGTGGTCTGGAAAGGTGAGAATTCAGTTTATAGACCGATCCTGGCTTTTAACACAATTAGTTCAACCAATGAGAGCACAGCAATTAGCGGTTATACCAATGAGAGTCATTGCATGTCTGTCCAATATTTCGACTTTTAAGGTTTTTATTTTCAATCTTTTGCATATTATTTGTAAATTTCCTTATTGTTGTAATTTTGCTACAAACTGTCCACATATGTAGTTCATTGAGAAGACGGAAAAGCCATCATGTCGTGTGTAATGTGTTTCCCCTCCGTCCAGGATTAAGCTGTGGAAGACGGGTTCCTATCAACGCCGTACAAACTGTACTCCTAACGCCGTTTCAAACGACATCGTACTGACGGACCCAGAACCGCCCAACGGTACAACCCCGGAGGGTCTGAAGAACTTCATGGACGTAAGTACAACTGGCAATACGAGATAGGACACAATAAGACGAGAGTTTAAACTGTTTTCCAACTCAAGAATTACCGAATTTTCTACCGTATAATTCGGTTTTCCTCAACTTTCTGACCCAATGGCTGTGATCAGGTGGTTCTAGCTTTAAAAACTTCAGCATTTTATCTTTATTTTTAACTCAACATATGTGCGATGTCAGGTTAAATGTAGAGTCACATTAAAAGTACCATAAAATATATTTCAGGTTCAGTACTACGGTGTGATTAGTCTCGGAACCCCGCCTCAGGACTTCAACGTGATTTTTGACACCGGCTCTTCCAACTTGTGGGTGCCGTCGGTCAAGTGTGATGGTACCGCATGTGGTAAGGAGAAAGATGGAGGCACAAAAAATATACCACTTCTGTTAATGTTTAAAATGATAGGAGGTCGAAGCCTGGCACCAAATTAAACTTTGTCGCTGTGGGCCCTCGTAGTTTCTAGGCCACGCCCCCACATGCCAAATGTAGCGGGGGAACCGATATTGCCCCAAAATGTTAAAACACCAGATGAAATGAAACCAAGACAGATGCACGACCTATTGCTTTTGAAAGTTGGTCAATTTCCTCTCAATTATTTTGTTTGAGTAGTCTTCAGCAGACAAAACCGAGATCGGCACGACGTTTTGTTGATTCTGCTGTATTTTTTATCCCAGCAAACCATCACAGGTACAACCACAGCAGGTCCCTGTCCTACAAGGCGGACGGCCGGCCGCTGAAGATCACGTACGGCAGCGGCAGTCTGTCAGGATTCCTCAGTCAGGACGCCATCACGGTGAGCTGTTAGAATGTATCATACCTCCTGTAGATTATGTACAGTGCTAGTGCTAGGTTGATCATGTGTAGGCATAAATGTACAAAGTACAGAAACTATAGAGACTATTCAAACTATACAACCTAGTGGCTATACATGTGTAGGCATCCCGGGCCCAATGACCATGACAAGATGCTAGTATGTGCGTACATGTATGTATAGGTATACATCTATATACAAGCTATACATTCCTGTGGGTATGTATGTATATACAATATAGGTCTTAATTCACTCATTCTTCGAACGTTTTAGTGTAGGGTATAAATAAATGGAGAATGTAGAAACAGGAGGGCTGAGTTTGATTTGGCAATGCAATGCAAAGATAAATTGATTACCGTACATTATTGTATGTCTGATCCCTTATTGCCGCCCCTCCTCATAACCCTATCCAGATCGGCTCCATCGTCATCAAGAACGGGACGTTCGGGGAAGCCACCAATGAACCTGGCTCGGCATTCGCCACCGGGAAATTCGACGGGATCCTGGGCCTGGCCTACCCGCAGATCGCCGTGGACCACATCCGCCCGGTGTTCGACATGATCATGGACCAAAATCTGGTGGACAACAACGTCTTCTCCTTTTACCTGGACAGGTGGTCTGCAAATAACACACTTCCTCCATCAACATACCTGCCGACAACGTACTAACTTTTCAAAGTCAAAATTTGAACGCTCACCTGCGTTGAGATTATACGGTATATTTCATGCCCAAACAAATAGAAAAGTTATAATGTGCAAGTCCTGATATCGAAAAAGCGTGCGTCTGTGAATACAGCTAAAGTTGTAATATTTTTAGGTATGTACATATGATTCCTACCTTGCCAACATGCACGGACCTTAGCTAGATACTGGTGAAGCTACACTTGCATGACCCTAACCTAAGATCTACCCCATGTGTTAATCAATACCCACCTGTTCACCACAGGGATCCCGCGGCGGCCCCGGGGGGAGAGCTGCTGCTGGGCGGGTCCGACCCAGCCTACTACACCGGCAACTTCACCTACATACCCGTGTCATACCAGGGGTACTGGCAGATCAACATGGACGGGTGAGCAAGCTGTCCAATCTACAGTTTAACACTGAAGATGCTAACGTCCCTGCAGTTGTTGAATGTGATCTATTCGGAAACATTTACGGTGGAGTCGTGATGTTGTACATTTTAGACTTTGAAAGCTTTTAATATGGACTTAAGTGCACAACACTCGTGCCTGCCAGAGATTGTACTGACAAAGATTCTAAGTCAACAACCCGAACCACAAGGCCACCCAACATCTTAGCAACTAACAAATTTATCAGATTATGTAATCAAATATATGTATTTCGTTCTCCCAGCGTGCATGTAGGTCCGCTAAAACTCTGTGCAGGAGGGTGCCAGGCTATTGTAGACACGGGCACCTCTCTGATCGCTGGGCCGTCAGAGGAGATAGTCAAGCTCCAGGCCGCCATAGGGTCACAGCAGATAAGTCCTGGACAGGTCTGTTACTTTTTATACCGAATCGGTAGGGTGATACAAGAAGCGCAACATCGCCCCTAACTTTGCGCGCCTTGGTTACGATTCTCTACCTTGCATCACTCGTTTTTTTAATGAATCATTTACAAAACTTTTACAGTTCTTGGTAGACTGTGGTAAACTGGACAGCCTTCCCGTCGTGTCGTTCCGGTTCGGCGACAAGCTGTTCAACTTGACAGGACAGGAGTACACTCTAAAGGTAACCGTTTTAACGATCATAGCTGGTTTGATTTTTTTGCTTGTATTTCTACATCTTGTGTGATGCATTTCATGATTAGAGTTAGTAGAATGTCCTAATTTTTACATGCATATTTGGTTTCAAGTTCACACATTTCAGTACGAAGCAGTCGAGTTTTGGATAAACTATTCAACACTTAGTAACCTTACCCTGAAGTCAAGTTTGAATACATAATGTGGTCGTTTTTGTATTTTTTGAGCCGCTACAAGAGTTCTGCAACAAGAGAGAATGGTATATGTGAAGAAAGAAGTCAACCAATGTTGGTCTTCTTATCGTTGTTCAGGAACAAGCCAACCCTACCACCCAGGTCTGTCTGGTGGGGTTTATGCCTATGGACATCCCCAACCCCAGGGGACCGCTATGGATCCTGGGAGATGTCTTCATCGGCCAGTATTACACCGAGTTCGACCGAGGGAACAACCGGGTCGGCTTCGCTCGGGCCAAGTAGTGCACGAACCTCGTCCCCAGGACACCGTGTGCTTTGTACCCAGTCGCCTGACTCTGAACACCGTGATCCTACGTCACCACGCACTATGGCTGTAATATAAAACATAACACACAGGAGACAAAGCATAATCGGGACTAAAGTTTGAGCAATCTCACAGTTATGAGTGTACTCAATGTTTCGCATGTATGCACTATTATACACGACTTCATATTAAGGGTACGGCTATGTATTTCGATGTGCTCCATGTCTGACAAATAAACACCTGATTAAAGAAATTCTGGTGTCGTCTGGTGCCTGTTGGAACAATTGAGACCCGTGGGACAAACGGTTAGGGTTTAATTGGTAACTCAAACACGTGAAATACTGCTATGCCCCCCACCCGGCCCCACATCATTTGGTCGAGAGCACACCTACCTAAAACGTCGTCATTCTTTTTCCTAAAAAGGTAATCACGAGGTGATCACGTGATCACTAAATGATCACTGCGTGTAGCTATGCGTGTTCACCAGCAATTTCTAGTCTTGTGGCATTTCGACCTGTTGCTTCCGTCCAGTAAGCTGTGTTTTCGCGCGCCATCCGCTGCTCAACATGGCATCCTCGTGCCAATCGTTTTCTGCCCCAGAGCACTACTGGAACTGCCCCTGTCCTTGGTGCTGAATGTGCCATCCCGGAAGTTTTTGCTGGGTGCGCCACTGTGTATGAATGCGCGAACCATGCAGGCAATGTTACAATATAAATGCGGTAAAATCGGTATTAGTAACGTTTCAACACATGTCTCTACCGCCGCTGTTCATCTTTTAGTAATCCCGACAATTGGAAGAACTTGGAATACAAAAGACCAAGAGTAAGGGCTACTGTGGTGTTTCCATTAGGTTGGCAACACTTATAAGTGTTAATTTGCTGTTTCCCCGCTCACAGTGCAGGGATATGGTCACCCAGTACATGGTAGAACTTCTCAAGGATATCCAGAAGGACGTGAACCCGGAAATCGTCTGCAATGTAAGCCAAGGCTACTAGGTGGCGCCCTTGACACATGGTATTGAAAACAGCAAAATTGTCAACTTGCCATTGGTTTGTGTACGAATGATACAATATGCCTTGTTACACACGTGCTACACACATCTAATAAGTTACACACATCTAAACCGTGTAATCCCAAACATGTTATATTAGAACGCCTATTTAAGTGAATCTAGCATTCAATACATTTGATCCTATGAAAAGATTCAAGTACATGATCCATACAGTGTGCAAATAGGGAAATGCATTTAAAACGTTCAAATCTTGGAGACTGTATGTTAGAGAATACTTCAAACTCTAATGTCACATACATATATTCTGTACGTAGGGTGACTTCATCCATACAAGTATTTAGCTCTGTTCGATCTTAGTTGTAGTAGACCATACGAAAGTCCCAGCACTTTTGTCGAGTCAATAAACAATCATATATCGTACTAAGTATTTAATTAACGATTGGGCTTATCTCCAAGTAAAACGTAACTCATTGATACTGATACACCAATCCCAAACCTGCTGATGTCACAGTTGACTAGCAAAGTCTAAAGATCAGTCTTATCACGTTCCACTCGTTCCACACACAATAACGGGTCACAAGACACACGGCTTGTGTAAACTTCGACCTATACACAGCTGCGCACCCAACAACAGGAAGTTGGGAATACATAGCTAGCTGTAGACACGGCTTCTTCCCGTACCGTAGTTTCTAGTTAGGTAAGAGGAGAGATGTACCGGTGGTCTGTTATCTGTGTGTTTCTCTGCGTGCTGGGTCACTACGGTAAGTAGGCAGCTGGTTTGCGTTTTGTCATAGTATAAGTAAAGGTCCGGTGAACTGGTAGAACTTTCATGGTGACCTACATTATTTGTTCAGCAACACAGCGCTACAAGCTAAGGTAAGCGGTATACGTATATAATGTTTAACTTTAAGAGGATGGCATCTGGTCTATAGTGTTCAAATCTTGTGTCGAAAAAAAGATATCTTCTATAAGGAGCAAAAGTCTGATGGGGCTTTGACCAAATGTCCAAGAAAAAGTGAAAATATCTCGGTTTCGCGCAGGCGCAGACCGTTCTGCTGACATTCTTCCTATAGAATAACAATAGTGCAGCTGTATACTAAATACCAATCCGTTTTAGCATCCGATGGCCCTTTACATTTGCATTTCCAGAGTTGAATGTGTTGAAAGTAGTGTTTCCAATGATACTACGTTTTCTGTTTGTAGCATCTGCGCAGGCGCAGCACAAGGAGATCAGCAAACAGGCCTTCTCCATCCACACAAATGAAGTGCAAGATTTGAAGCAGGTAAGGAATCTACTGGGTGAGATATGACAAGAAATTAATATTTGTGAATATTCCTTGCTGCTGCAAATGCACAATGTTTACCTTCACAATGGTCTAACAAACGTCTGCTCTGTTCATTCTTAGTCAAACACATTCATATATACGATGACCAGCGCTAGCCCCTTCTCTGTCCTGCAACTTGCAACATAATCTAAACACCAGTTACTATGGTGACAGACGCCCGGTCCAGGTCATTGACCGTATTTGTTTGAGGAAGAAGAAACAGAACAAAAACAATGTGTTTTCTTTCTACGAAGCTAAGCATAAAAAACGCACATTGTGATGATATATAATTGACAATATATTTCATGCGTTTATTGTTTCTTTTCACCTTTCTGGAAGTGTTTGGAGTGCCTGAGTTTGGGAGAAGCGGTGCGAGCCGAGCTGGCCAAAAGCGACACCCAGCAGCTGATAATGAAACTGCTGGAGAAGGCATGCATGCTCTTGCCAGCAGCAGAAAGCTCTCAGGTGATTAAAGGTCTACTTCTACTTTAATGACATGTATAACATATAAGTTCAAATTGATAATCATCATCGAACTACTTAAATTTAGATGATCTTCAAAACATGTTCTTACCCTTTTACTGCTTCTTGTCAGAGCAAAATTGAATGAAGTACATGTATTTGTATTGCATTGATTTTTTAATTGTTCGTCTTTCCCTGCAGTGCTTGAGTACTCTTGATAACGTTGGCCCGATGTTCATGGCATACCTGATAGAGAAGCTGGAACCGTCGGCGGTGTGTAAGGACCTGGGGATCTGTGATGCTGCAGGTGAGAGTAGAAACATTCCACACAACTGTCGTGCCTTTGTACTCCTCTAGGGGGCCACTGGCAGATGGTGTAAGTCGATTAGGTTGGTCAGTGGGCGGTTAAAGAAGTACTGAACTCTTGTCTTTTTTGTTCCCACATAGGAAGCGCACTGGCAAAGAAACACAGCAACAACTTCAAGGTCAGTTAGCAACAACGTTTCCCCCATGTGCACCGCTTCATGTGTCAACAACCCTGACAATGTTTTGTTACTTTGAAAGGAACAAAACATTGTATACAATTACATCTATCACCTTTCTCTTCTCTGATTCATAAGTACAAGTATAGGAAATGTGTCGCTATTGTAAAGCTTTTTAGATTTCATTTTTGCGCCCATCTCCTTGTCCTGCCAGGGCTCGAATGTGACGATTGAGTGCCATCTGTGTGAGATGTTGGTCAGCGCTGTGAAGGACGAGGTGGACAGTTATCAGGTAAGATCTTAGATTCATCAAAGTCATATATACATGTACCATGATATACATGTATGTATAGATACGGCCAAAAACGTTTCAAATTTAAAGGTAGAACAAAGAAGAGATATTCAATTATTAGTGCTGACATAGCGAACTGATTTTAAAAGTGTTTTGTTACTCCATCTTCCCCCTAACAGTGGTACATCAAGGGCTTCATGGATGACTTCTGTGCGCGCCTGCCGGTCATAGTGCAGACCGAGGTAGGTTTTACCGTTATATTTTCCTTAGTGGAAACTTCACTAGTCATATTGTAGGCTAGGTCTACCTAGAATTGGCATAGAATCTCTGACTAGGAGCATAAATAGTTGATTATAGACTAACGGCTTCATAAGAGAGGAAGAAGATATTAATTCTTCTCCGTGTTTTGTTTCCAGTGTCAGACAATGGTGGATGAGAAGTACCCGGATGTCATGAAGATGCTGGACCAAATCCTGGACCCTCAAGTCGCCTGTACCTTCCTCAAGGCGTGCCAGTAAAACAATGGAGACACTTGCTAAATACGGTAAAAAGAGGCAAATGTCAATGAAAGCCAAAAGGCAAGAAAAAATATGAGAGAAAGATGTTCAATGTCTTCAATCTCAATGATAACGAGAGTTTTAAAAATAATTTAACACACAGAACAGTTTATAACATGACAAACAGAAAATCCTCTATCCGTGCTTTCATTCTTCTTTAATGAGGAGGAAGGTTGTACACATAATAACCATATGTTCCTGTATCACTCTGTAGTCTGATGTGCAAAGGTTTATAATATAAGTGGATAAAAAGTCAAGGAAACAGCCAGCCGAGGCTGTGTTTCTCTGTAGCAGTCTTTGCTGAAGTTTTCTAGTAGTGAGAATCAAACCGCAAGGTGGCGCTTCAAAGGGCGAGGTCCTTACCACATAAAACACGAAGTTCACTGTTTCAACAAGAATTCTGGAACAAGCAAATACCTGGAAAAGACATGTAATAGAGTTGAAGAATTTTTGCTACCCCTTTTTTAGCCACTACAAAAGGCGATTATTATGTTGTTTTTCTTCCGGCCAGGTGTGGATAGAAATCTTCACGCACACCTGCACCGAGTGCTCGAACTGTCGTCTGCGTTACCATAGCAACGAAATAAGGGGTTCTCTGCACATTACATGAACATCAGGGTACAAAAGATTTCATTATAAACCATTTCAAGTTACAAATCCATGAAATGTTTCTACGTAATAGATTTCGGTATCATGATTATATGCATGTAGTCGTTTTAAATTTGACGTCCGCTATCTTGATTTCCAACCAAGTTTAATAACTTTTCTCATCGTTTCCAGCCCAGTCTTGGTTGCAAACTGTCAAGCACTCTGCCAAGAGACGACATAAATAACTGGATTATGGTGGTATTATTTTTCAGAGGGGTGATTTTTTAACAAAAAAAATCACTAAATTTCGTATGATCCGTTCGCAAGTTGTCAACACAAGGATAAAGTCTCACCCACACAGGGCATGACCGGTCATTGGTCTTTCGGGAGGAGAATTGAGAGAGAAAATGTATTTGACACCGTCAATCATAGTACTTATTGCATATACACTTTTGTAATTGCTGTCTGAATTGGTTGTACACTTTTCGTGATATGCCACAAGTGTTTATTCAAATTATTGGCTTTGATTTTACTGACGTCCATCCAAAAACAGATTTCTTTTGTTCAAAGAACACAGCTACCGTAAGACCGGTATGACGTGACATCCGAAAGCCCGTCTTAAATATACATGTAGTCTAAAAATAATTTGTTCAATCGCTTTTAATATCGCATATGCTATGTTTAAAGGCTTATCGGGGCTTTGTAAGTGACGTACGCAGTACAAGAACAGCTTGTACTTGAGGCAGATTAGAAGATATGAGGGATGTGGAGCTATTATTAGATTATGCGGATGAGAAACGTCAAGTGGGCGTATGGGGTATACGTAATGATAACCTTAGCATTGAGCTACGCCCTCTTGTGGCCAACATTACAGGTGCAACTTTTCTATTTTGGTAGTGCCTTGTCCGATAGATTGAACATTTTTGTACGGTAACATAGTATATATTTACCTGGCTTGGCAATCATTGCACAAGGTTTCTTGCATGTTGGAGAAAATTACATCTAAAATATATTTGACATATAATTTAGATGTAATTTTCTCCGACATGCAAGATTTTATGTTAGGGTTTGCGAAACGTATAGCTGCTACGAAGTCTCATGCAAGGAAAATTCAATTTCCATCAACATAGAATTCATTTCAAACCCGATGCGCCACGAATTGAGGACAAATGGTGATCACGCGTACAGGAAGCGATGATGACCTTACTCCAGCCTTAATTCCCGTCTTAAGCACGTATTGTCCTAGCTAACAGGGCTGGAAAAGTCCAGCCGAGCCGTATCGGAAGTCTTGTCTTTAGCGTGCATGCTTGAGGTGCGGAAAACCCTTTGGTTTAGGATGAATTCATATAAATATCCCCCAGCTGTAAACATAGCACGACGTTTGTGATCACTTCTGCAAACGCGATAATTACTGGAGGCCAGCTGGCTGGCCTTGAGGGAGAGGATGCGGTGCGAAAGTGTTGACGGTGAATAGTTTGCTGTTGTTATTGTGCCTATATTGCTGTGGGTACGTAACTATCCTCTGTATGTAACTTGCTTGTCCGTATATGCAACATAGGCCATAGTATCATCCCCAAAACGGGGGGTCACCGAAGACGTTTCATCGTCTAAAGGACATTTCACAGCCTTCTAAGGATCTGTAAGTCTTTACAAATAAACTGCGACAAAAATCATACTACGTAGGTGACCGCGCTTTTGCATAGGTTCCGTCGTGGTTGTTTACCTAACATTCTGGGATATTTCTCATGCCACGAAAGAAACGCTCTAAAAACACTAATCACAGGTGTTGACATTTGTGTGACACCAGTAAACACCGTGGACATAGTTCTCAGGTTATGCCCGTACCTGGGCATTTTAAGTCGCTTCGGTCAGGACATTTGGCGGCATTTTAAAGGCTCAGCTACATTATGTAACCAGCTCCAAACATTTTTTAAAAGACACAGTGGGATATCTTTAAAATCTCTTGTTTTCAAAACTGTAGATTCGCAGTTCTCGTCGCATGTCGGGACGGTATTGGGTCGGATCTTTTGAGGTATCCCACAATCCCCTACAGAGATGGGGACCACAGTTGACTTCAGAACCATCTCATGTATTTAAAATGACAAGCCTTCTCCATCGCGACATGTCGACAGACAACTGACAGACCCCCAGACGACAACTGATGACAATGATATGATATGTAGCAGATCTTTCCTTGCCCCGCTGCAGACCGCATAATTATGTGGAGACAGTTTCTCACAAGACATCGCGCGGGATGATTAGAACGTTCCGGCGGCAGGGAGGAATGTCACGTGACACGTTACCATAGTGACAGACTCTTCCGCTGACTGGACCGATATATGTGGAGGACTTGGGATTTTTTCATAATTCTGAGGAATGGTTACTGCATTCATCATTACTTCATTTCTTTCTTTCTTTCTTCATGTCCAAATGTTCAAGTCAACTGTAGAGTTTCAAAATGCGCTTTCAAAGAAGTATTCCATGCTTACAATCTCCATTCCCATTCGAGTTCTCTTACAGCTCTAATCAACAAGGTTACAACCTCCTTGCTCTAATATAGAGCAACTACATTGTGTACACATCGCTATGAATAAAATGGTAGTTAAAATCGACATTTGGGGCACCCCAGCAGATACCCCTGAGTCTCCTTGACCCTGCTGTACGGTGGTGGTTGTTCTAACCTCCTTGGTCGGACCGTACCCGTGGGTTATGGATGTTTGTGTTAAGTGTGCTCTCAGTCGAGGTGTCGCCGAGGTCACCACGGGTCACAGATTCCATGTTTGCCGTCAATTTGTCAACGTCACCCCTCTCCCGTTTACCTGGGCGCCATCCCGAACCCGGGCGCCAGATCTCACCACAGGTATGACCCGTCACTTGGCACCGGTCTGAGATACCCCAGACTCGTCTGTACCATACACAACAATGTCACAACACAACAATCGTCAAAGTGTCAGCACCGACGGATAATTACTTAGTACTTACTGAGGAGCAGTGAAATAGATTTCATGGCGCCAGAACGTCGGAAACGACGTTTTTTTTTAAATTTACAGTCTGATTTTGATCACAGGGAAATCTGGTCAGGGTCATCAGTGAATGACTCTTTGTTTTCTGATTAAGAGAGATTGCTTTTGGAAATAATTATCATGTCATTTATGACGTAACAAACACATATTTCTGTAAAGGAAAAATGCAACTGAAAAACACCTTGTGAACGATGGAGTGTATCTATAAAAATGTTGATTATTTGTTGTTAAAAGGTCCGCCGATTTTCAGCAGGAAGTTAAGAACTGAGAAAGATATGCAGGTGAGGTAATGTAAATAATACAGCGTCCTCTTGTTTCGCTCTCGTGGCGCCAAAAACTGTCAGAAGACCAATCATAGTCTAATGTGACGTACAACAGACCGGTAGTTGAAACGCAACATTAATTAGTATGTTACACTACAGTCGATTATGCGGGAGACAAAAAAGGTGTGCCTAGTGGCATGAGTGGTTTACTGTAATAAGGGAAATATTTCCGACGTCTTTTATTGTGTACTGAAATTCAAGAAAACTTTTGGAAAGGGCAAAAAAGCTGTCAATATTTATATAGACGGTGGCTTTATCTCATCTATTTATCAGTATTTCTCGACTTCAAATTTCTGCTTTTTTTTGCATAATCTTTCCGATTTTCAAAATATTTTACTCAACATCTAACGTGATTCGTTGTCTTCCGCTTGACAATCAATCATTGTAGATCTGCTTTGTTAGTCCCTAGAATGTACATGTACCAGGCAGTGAAAATATTTTCATTGAATATCATTGTAACTTCATAGGCGCATGTCATATTTCCCAAAGTCAATGACTCAGTACTAGTTTTAAACTGTTAAACGTCCCCAACAACGTCTCATGATATCTAGGTCTCTACCACACTTCCTAAGGTCGGAAATCACTCAAAGTTTACGATGCTTGATCGTTCCGGACATTGGGTAATAAGTGCCCCCCTCCCCACCCACAGGTTCCGCTGGCACTTTGACAGATCGTTGACTGTGTGTTCATGATTATAGGTTAAATCGACTCGCCTTTTCGCCGGGAGCATTTCCTGCGTATCTGGCTAATATAATATCTCCTGTTTATGAAAGGACGTTTGATCGGAATAATAACGGGGTTTGGACAAGTTAAAAACTGTCATTTACCTGGGAAAACAGACAATGCTGAGTTTTGTTTGTGATTAGTATTTTAGATTTTAAACGTGAACAACGGACAGCCTGGCCAACACAAATCCAGGAGAGAGACAACCAAATAGATCTTGCTAAACGCAAGGAGATAGCTGAGATTTAAAAAAAAGGTGAAATATCGAAAATTTACGATGTGCTTTGTCACAGGTTGATGTTGGTTGGTTGGTTGGTTGGTTGGTTGGTTGGTTGGTTGGTTGGTTGGTTGGTTGGTTGGTTGGTTGGTTCGTTCGTTGGCCAGTCGGTCGGTTGGTGCTTGCTTGCTTGCTTGTACTGCAAAGAAAAAAAATGTGTACTGGAAAGATAGAAGAACGGAAAGAACACTACGAATACAAAAGGAATTTCGCCCCCTCCCCCAGTTTTGTATTATTAGCATATGTCTCTGAGATGAATATGATTTTGTCTGCTCCTGACTTCATGTAAGTATATTTTGAAAGGGACGTTTTTTTCACGCAAATCTAAATATACAGCAAACATGTACATTTCATCGCTGCCTGTTGTACCCACAGCGGAAATGCCCCCATTCTAACTTTAGATGAGTAAGAACACCTTCCTTCAGTAAAATAAACAATGACAACATCGGCGGCAACAAACATACGCATCCATACGTATGTGTTGACACACCAAACGAGCTACGTTTCTCAGAAAACAGCGAAGTCGTCTCACACGTCCACACATCAGACAAGAACTCCTACTGTTATCGTTCAGACGCTGACAACTTGCGATTGGTTGCGAATTAGTCGGGCATCGTCCGCACGTGACAGATTAGAAAGATAGGACCGAGATACGACTGAAAACGGACACCAAACGATATTTCTACAAACTTGGAGCTTTAAATTCAACCCTTGCTACAAATTAAACATCTATCCAATTATCCAACACGGATGAACGTTCATGCTATCCAATTCTTGTTTGTTAACTAGTTTTATTGTATACTCGAATATAACTACAATACACGTACTATGTTCGATCAAAATATAGGCCTTGTCATTGTTGATGGCAAGTGACTTTGGAAGATTTTTAGTTTTTTTTTCTTTTTAGAAGGTCTGAAATGTCTTCAGTAGTGGAATAGGTGCAGTATCAAATTTCTCTTCCTGCGAGGGTACTTTTTAGTGTTTAACATAGTGTTGTCTGATATCAATATTTCCCCTAAGGCAAAACAAGAAACTAAGTCTTTTCAAGGTCTGTCTACACTGTATGTGTAGCCATGTGTTCTAGAAGAATGTACGGTAGAATACCTGTTTTTTCTCTAATATTAATGTTTTCGGTGTGAGATACAAGAGGTAGAAAAGTGGTCTAATATGATAGCGGCATTTCAAACGTTTGTAAAATGATTGTCATTCGATCTCAATTTACAAAGTTGGATATCCTAAAAGACAGACAACCTAGTCGAGAATTACCACATCAAAGAGACAGCTCACTCGTTGTTTGTGAATATTTTTCATGGTTTATTGTCAACAAAAACCACAGACTTCTGTACAGGTAAACCTCCGAACTCATTTAAATTACACAACGGGAGAGAGTATTATTTACAAAGAGGCAATCATATCAAAATAAAGTTATCTGCAAGAGCACATCTAAATAAATACAATCTAGATAAATAGATCTCGAGTATTTTGTAGTTTACACAGCGCCGACCGGGTCGAAAAGTCGTCGTTTCCACGCCCCACGCATAGCAATTTTAATTTCAGTCCAGTCTGCACTGATAAAAAACAGAGTACACAAAAATGAACAGCAAAGGTAGAAAACGTCTGAGGTATTCGGCCATGCGTTAACTTAGAAGCGGTCATTTGATTGATATTGTAATTATCATAATGCTTCCGGCAAAAAAATTCTTCTTGCTTCTTTTTTATTGAATAGCGGAAACCCTATACAGTACATGACTACAGTATTGGAACAAAGATGGTCTGTGATGTTACAGACGAGGGTCGTCTGATACTTTTTCTATTATTTCAGCAGAGCTGAGGGATTTTCTGACACATCGCTAATGACAGGGGCGGTATCCCTCAAAGTGAGCGGGGATTAAAGCCAGGGCAGATTTGTAACAGTTTACTGAGTCCGGTGTGTGCTTTGATGCGTCTTGTTGGGCCGAAATTGGAGCGGGCGTCCTTCCCTGCTGCCTGCTGCTATAGAACAACACTTGATATCTGTCCGATAAACTCCTGCAGGGGTCGGAAAACTTCCCCACGCCTCAGGATAATAATGTCCGTCCCACGTGGGCTGTTGTCCTACTGCTGGCACGTGTACAGTCTGGGCTTCCCTTCCACCACCACGTCTCTGCTCGGCCGGCACGACAGCTCCTCCTCGCACGGACACCTCTGGAACAGCTCGCCGGGGACCGTGCGCTTGTCCGGCCGGGTGCAGGCGTCTCCCTGCGTCAGCATGGGCTTGCAGACCTTGGAGAACCAGTGACGCGCACAGCACAGGCCCACCTGACAGTCTGACGACCTCAGGCACCGAGACCAGGCCGAACCTGAAACATACACAACACACATGGTCAGCGACATGTTAAACAGACGTGGAGACTTCAACAATGTCAATGTTTTTCCAAATTCATGACATAATTTCTGGAGTCATGCTTCTTAACTTTACTTGAACCATAGTAAAGTGTAGCTCTCCGTGAATTAGTCGATTCTTACCTCGCTGAAAGGTTTCCTTGGTGTCCTGAAAGGTCTCTCGGCTGTCCGCAGTCTCAGTCGTCTCTTCCACCTGCGGCTCCTCCTCTCGTTCCTCTCCGTTGTCATGACGACGTCCCTCCAGCGCCACTCGTTCCCGGGGTCTGACGCAGATGCCGTTGAGGCAGACGTTCCCCTTGCAGCACATGGAGTCGCGGTTACAGCGGCGGCGGAGGCGGCGGCACGGCAGGCAGACCTTCTCCTCCCTCCGCCCGTGGCAGAACTCGTCAGCATTGCAGGACTCGTCGTCAAAACATCTGACCTGAAGGGAGGAATAAAAAACAACATTCTGTTAGTGCTGAATACACATATAACACCAGGAAATGCTAACTTATCTACTTCTTTCACCGTTAAACAAGACATATATGACTAGAAGGACAAATCAAAATAGCCCAAAGGCAAAACGTTACATGGCGATGACAACAGTTACCGGACAGGCAACAAATACTTCTTTGCAAAAGGCGGGAAAAAGACGCCAAGCTTTGAAGTCCAGAGGTGAGAATCATCTGGGTGTCGGGGTCCGTTTTTCACAGGTGTATTGTGGACTTTTCCGATCATCTGCCGAGTTTTTCACAGTTGACCTGAGAAGTATTGGCGTCTTTTTGACACAGTCGGTAATTAAATCCATATATTTGGGGAGATCTTTGTGTGACGATTACTTTGTTGGTGTCCAATTGTCTTGTGGTATTAGCATTTTCTGATCAAAGAATATGCAAGTCTCAATAACACGTCTTAATAAGCAATACTGTTATAATCTGAAATAACTTCTTCGCTATAAAGACATTAATTAGTGGAAAGAATCTTAGAAATGCTTGGTCGGATACTAGTGAAACAGACAAAACGGACTGAAAACACATAGACCACGCGTTCATGCCGAGAGACATGTTCCTACACCGACATACTAACATGAACGCACCAGGCGACAATGAGGGGTTCAAAGCGGTCAGTCTGAAGCCGCAAGACGGTAGACCGGAGCCACGCGCTCACACACCCTTGTCGGGTCGTGTTGCACCTCCCTGCTAATACGCCGTGAGAACGGAGAACAAATCCTCGGCACCTCTCTCGGAAAGCCGCAACACCCCACTGTGATGACAACACCCCCTTTTTCTCGCCCGACAGGAGAAAAAAAATCTCCTCCGATATTCCCGTCCTCACGCGCGTCCTCCAATGTCATTACTGCTAACCAAGGGTGGGAAACCGGCTCACCGATGTGAACTCGGTAACTCTACCCGGGAAGAAAGAAGGGATTGGCGAGAGATGTAACAACTACCGATCCTTTAAGACGGTTAAATCTTGTCACGGAAAGTCGCGAGGCTTTGAAGTGTTTCAAACAAAGACCAGGAAAGGCGTCTTCCCGGGGATCAAGATTGGACCTTACTGTCAAAACAGGCCGGGGAGACCAGTTGAAACGTTTCCGGATTTAAGATTTGAGCCTGTGCGAAGTTGGGTAAATGAAGGCGCATGAAGCAGTGTCAAGCGAGCTGGTGACGTTTTGGGGGAGGCCGACAATCGTTGAACGGTTGGGGTACAGGTAACAATAGCCAGGCTGGCAAGGTATTATAGAAAGCCCACTGAGTGCGCTCTCTCACGACAAAAAAGAGGGCTAAACGCGAACCCGGTTTAAGAAGAAAGGGGCAGTTTCACAGGGTCGTGCCAGATGAAAAGGAAGGCTTGCCCTGTACCAACTACCACCGGAGGTTCCGGCTTTTATTCTCCTCGATGCTTTTCATTCCACCTTTTCTTGCGGGTGACAGAAATAGCCACTGTACTTCAGAATAGAAACGTGGCTTTTCAACGTCTTTGAAGTTCCTTCCCGGAACTGCACAGAAAACGCTTCCCAGTTTCGAACTAATTTCAGTCAGTACATGAGGAATTTCGCATGAAGTATCTGTCTTCGCCCAGAGCAAGGAACCACGGTTGATGTTTTACTGTTGTGAGTGGAAACTGGGCGCTCATTACCTTTTACATGCGTATTTTGGGATCAATATTTACTTCGGAAATCCCCAACAAAGAAATTTGTTGTCGCTCACAATACCTGCTCGTACCATAATTATACAAACTGAGACCGCGGTGAGAAAGCGAGGGCACTTGTGGATTTTTTGGAATTCATCAAAATGACATGTGCCGATCTTCGTACAGCGCGTTCCCGTCACCTTAAAACTATGCAGCGAGTCCGGACGGTGATCTCATCCATGTTGCCGCTGATTATAATCATTTACAACCTCATTAGGGAGGAAAACTGTGGTTTCTACATCCTCAGTCTTATGTTTACTCGCACTGAAGCACATCTCTGCAAACACGTTTTAAATCTCGCGAGACGCAAGTACCTAACACTGGGCTAATCTGAAAGGCCGGTTTGAAGAAATCTCAATAAAGAACGGTTGGCAAATTTGGCACTAGCTACGGCAAGTGCACGGTATGTTTCAACAACTCAGTTTGTGTTAGGTGAACATGTTGCCAAAACAGAAACGCCGCCAGCGATAGCAGAATGAGCTTGATGTTTAGATAGAAACGGAAGACCTTTTCACGTCTGATGTACCGTTCAAAATAACAGCAAGAACGTGATGACTTGGCGTATTGTCCACAAGTCTTCTTTGTAGGGTACCTACGCCCCAACCTTGTGTGCAGCCATTTGCAGCAAGTCAGAAAAAAAGACTGACAAGTTTGAAAATAAATGCGGACGGCGCGACCAGTTTATAAAATTCAGTGTAGCAAATTACTAGCAATTTGATGGTGCTTTTTCCACAGCTTGTGTCTGATATATCTTTACCATTGAAAAGACCACGAAACGATCTTGCCAATGTATGTTTGCTGAAGATAACCTCGCACCCCGGTCGTTCGGTAATTTCAACTGCCACGATGGATCACATCTCTCGCCACAGGTGCTGACGGACTAGGATTTGATCCATGAGCCACACGCTGCTTCCCAACACACGGGAATAGAACCCGTGTCCGGGGGGTCCGGACGACATTTGTCGGTACCCTTGTTCTACAAATTCACGGCTAAGCACCAAAATTCTCATGAATATAGGAATAAAATGGACGACCGAAAACTTAGTCGATATTCTATGACAACGCCATTGCGCCTAGGTTTAGCTACATTAGCAAGGAATGTGGACACATAAAAGGCATTATGAGGGTAAAAATACTCTTTGTTACAACCCAAAAGCTATTTCTGACGAAGTGCGTCAATAGCAGCCAAATGGAGCTTCCCAAAAAGAAATCCCCCAATCCTGTCAATGTGTAACCACGGTTGACCTCCAATGTAAAGTTTTAGTGGCCGAACGTCAAACAGGTTTATGGCAGTTACACGTAGCCATAACAGACTCCCAGGCTGGTTCAACACGTGAACCGTGTGTTGAGACACCCTGTCCTTCGGGGCAAGTGCCCTGGACGTAAGAACACGTACCCTGGAGAGTCACACAGCCGTGACACTTTAACCTCACCAATAAATAAAAACGAAGTTAAGACGTAAAATAATTTCAAAGAGCCGTAACAGAACCTACCTCAAATGTTTCTTCCTCCACCTCACGGCTGGCCTCGTTCTCCGTGACTGTCGCGTTCCTACCGACCGTCTTGATGTGGTTGGTCGGCGGCCTGACGTTGTTGGTGCCGACGACTTGTCGGACCATCACGGTGATCAGGACGGCGAGGAGGGACAGCTGTAGCAGGGAGATCGACATCGTTGTCCTCGGTAGTAGAGACGAGCAGGAGAGTAAATAATAATCCAAGTCTACGGTGTGGACAAGTTACGGGAAGATCCTTGTCGCGGAGCGGCTGGCACGAGTGGACGGGAGCGGGAGAAGACGGGCTGACTGGGCGAGAACAGCTCGGGAACTGACACGGCAGCGGCCAGACCGGGTTTAAATACCAGCGCCGACCCGATACGTCAACTTGTGCGCTTTTTCATCAGCGCCGCACATGAGAGGACGGACCGACGCTGTCAAAGATAATCTGGAATAATTTGCTTAATTACCTTGGCCAAACTTTTTGTCTGTAGTGACGGCGGGCGCCTTTGTGCGTTAATTTGCTCCCAGGGTTCCCGGCGTGCGTTCAAAAGGAAAAGAAGGCGGGGCCTAATGGTGGTTATTGTTTCAGATGGGGGTTGCGGGTGTGTGTCGAGTCTACTTGTGGCACCTTCCGTGTGAAAATTTGACTGCCTTCTTTATTTATGGCAGCGTTTCGCACGTCTTTGCTAAAAGTCGATAAAGTCCCCGAACTACACCCTAACTGTCCTCCTCTCTCATTGGCCTGCTCTTTTTTCCGACCGTCAGGGTGCTTTATTGTGTAACGGCGGCATGTGCAGCATTCTTTTAAGTGACAGCCACTCAATAGCATTCATTCCGACTCAAAAGCACAAAAAAACGGATTTTGTAAAGACTAGAATGGGATAGAAACAACAAAAACACTCTATGGACGAAAAAGAAACGTGGCGCACACTTACGAGAAAAAAAGAAACACAAAGAGAACGCAGACGTAAAAGGTCATCAATTTTCTTTCACTTGACGACAGAGAAAAAGTGAACTCCTTGTGCTTTGTTGTAGGCTAAGACAAGACAACTTTAAAATGGCAGACTAGTGTATAATCATCATTAGGACCGCAAATTCGTCTCCCTTTTGTGCGAAGAAAAAGACCAGACCAGATCGATTGCCGTTGGCTTGTCTCCAACAGAAGCCGCGAGGAGAAAATTTACCCAAGCATTAAGTGTTGTCTCTGAAATTTAGCAGATTACTATTCCCCGTTCCAACGTATTTAAGATGATTTCTGCGCATGATGTTATAGAAGTGACAGTTTTCGGAAATCAAACACAAAGAAATTGGTAGCGATGTCAGATTTACTTGAATTTCTCACTGAAAGTTCATTTGAGGGGACATGTCGGCACGGTGACTTTACACAGAACAATGGGTTCAGTCGGCCGTGTGATTGTCGCCATTTTTCTCCCCATTCGCACTGCTGTGACAGAGGTGGTCACATCGGGGTGATAATTAGGGAACGAGGCCCCCGGCGGGCTGAGAACCGCGCCGGCGGGACATGCGGGCAGTCAGCCGGGTGGAAATCCGCTAGCTGGCGGCACGATCGCCCGGGAACACCAAGGGCACAGGCTTCAGTTTGCCGGGACCGTCTCAGAGTCAGACCAAGTCCTTGCTCAGACCACGTACGCCAGAAAAAAAGAAGGAAGAAAAGAAATGAATTCTGTTGTAGTATTTCCTTGAAGTTGAAGGGAAAGGGATGTGCGGTTGACCGGACAGGAGGGAAAAGGGAGAGGCTAAGAACGCTCACATACATCCGTTCTTTCGACCACGAGTGTCAGACAAGTTCCAAATGTTTTCCCTCACACCTGTCTATCAGAAGACTTTCGTCTGTTTCCCAATGCGCTGCCGTGGACGGGGCTCGTCCGACACCTGAATAACGCCGGCGCCACGGTAACCTTCCCGCCGCCAGCTGAGAAATATTCCGCCCCGACTTTCTCACATACTTCCCGACAATTTCTAACCATTTTGTTACCGACGCAATCTGAAAGAATTCGGCGCTTCCCTGTCCATGCGGCGAGAGCGTCTGGAAACGGGTGAATCCTTCTCGGGGGATTATTTTGCAGCCACGCGCGCCAGACTCATTAGCGTCGCTTGCTTGATCCGGAAAAATAGCCTAATGCCCGGCTTGTCACTAAACATCTGTCATATCCATCCTTACGACTCGTATTTATCTTTGTTGTCTTTCTTCGCTTGTTTGTTATACATTTTCTTTCGCACAGTAGAGAACCTAATAGTGAGGAAGGCCACCCATGGTAGTGTCCTGTACGGGAGATCTGACAACACATCACGGACAAAAGGCTTATCGGAGAAACTGTATCAAAGTAATACGTGATTACCAGATTATCACAGGGGTAAAGGTGCCGACCTGTCCCCGGGGTACGGCCGGACAACAGGGAAGCGGGGGAAAGGCATGCGTGAAAAAAGATTCCGCCAGAAAAGACCTCGGACGTAGAGAAAAAGACATGAAACCAAGCGGAACAGATGGACACAAGGCGCGGGTAGGTCAAAAGACTGCCTTTTATCCTCTTTTCTTCTTTCCTTTTTTTCCGTTTCTTTCTTTTTCTAGAGGTGTGTCCGGGTCTACGTACGTTCACATGACGTCAATATTGGACATATATCGGCAATAAAAATACATTGAAAGTTGCCTGTTAAACTAAGGAGGTTGGTTAAACTTTAAGGTGCATCAACCGAAAGCTCCTTGGAAATGCATAAAGTAACCTGTTTCCTTTCTACGACACTTCTTTAATATTTTTGTTCCAAGGGTTCTTAGGACTTCAAGAATCCAACCGCCTTATGGTTCAAAAGAAGTATTGCCTCCCTTACTTTCAAAGATTGTCATAGGACTTTTCAAATCATCTTTAGTTTATCAAAAGGAGCAGCAGTATCTAATGTCTCCTGGCACTGGCTCTGTTTTTTTCTCACAATTTCAGAATCAGAGCTGGATACTAGTAACCCCATGGGAGCAAAGTTATCAAAAGTGAAACTCTTTCGGAGATTTGATGAATCAAAACAAACAAAACCCTAGCTCACCCCTTGCCTTATCCTTGACTGACAGGAAAATCGGACTGTTTATTGCAAAGTAATCAACAAATAACGAATCACTTTGACGTAATTAGCGTCTTCAAGATTTACCTTTCAATGTACCGAACAAAGGATTCATCAAAATAAAGCAGACCAATTGTCACTCAATAGAATCAACGTCTCAATCGGCTCTGTCTTTTGTCAAGAGATATCAAAGGCTATTTTTGATTGGTTTGTTTATGACACTGACGTAACAGTCCGTGGTAGACAATGACCATATGTTGTATGAAGTACTTGGCCTGAGTGCTGTTGGAACGTTACAGAAAGTTACGCGTACATTTCCACACTGAAGTGTCAAACTGTAGGCACGGGCTGGGGAGGCTGGCGCGCGCGTGTCTGTGTTTGTGAAGGGAAGAAGAAGAAAAGAATACCGCCAAATTTACACGCCGGTCCTACTACTAGTATGTTCGGCCGTCCTTGTTTATCTAACAACGCCGAAACAAATAACTAAATATTATCGGAAATACATTTTGCACTATTGCAGGATATACTGGTTGTTCACTAACCAAATACATTTTCAAATACAAATACAATGCCAAAATTTCACGGTGGTCTTTTACAATAGCTTATGACGAACATTCGTGGGACAGTCGTGGCTGTGTTGTAAAACCGTAAGTTCACGAGGATGTGTAGTGTGTACGATAAACGTCGCAATGTTCTCTTCCTCTTGGGTAAACTGACGGTACGAAGGCGTCTTGTAACTTTCCTCCAACATTGATCTATGAAAGGATATTTTGCCAATTCAAACGTCAGCAAGGAGAAACCAGTATAGAGTCTTCAGTCAATAGTTATGCTAAGGTATTTACAAGGTAAAAGGTAGAGATGCCCCCATGGCTATAGTGTTTTTTGAGGCACAGTGGGTTGATGATCCACTGTGTCTAGGGCACGGTACTGGAAGGCGGAGCCCTTTCCTTTCACCGACTTTTAGTCTTTACCTCCCCAGGTACCCATTGTTTAGTCCTGGGCGGAGTGAGGAAAGTCGTGTGGTGTAGTTTACATTTCTACATAGTTTGCGTCACTCCCTCTCCTCTCGCCATGGGCTATACACCTGCAAACATGCCGGCACGCCGCAGCAGTGACTTCACCGATTACGACGGCAGATAAAACACAACAGCTTGCCTTTTGTGGTCATCTATGCACGGAGGAGAACAAACAAGAGGCTAATAATTTCTAACAATGACCCGTTCACCTTGGGGTGTTTAGGAAAGAATTACAGTAACACCTGTGCGTAAGTGTTCGGTAGAAAACCGTGGGACACAGGATCGACACAGGTGTGTTCTCGTAAACACAAATATGCGTCAACAACACCGGGCAAAATTACAGAGGAATTCTGCTAATCTTGTACTGCTTTTCGGTCTTATGGTCGTTTTTTAAGGATGATAATCACACAACAATTGCGTTGCAATGTTGCCATTTTTGTGTTGAGCGCTGTGCGAACTATGAAAAGACTTTGTAGACCATCAGGTATCACGTTGTTTGGATCTTGAACAATTCCCCGACTCCAACTAAACCAAAGTCTTTTAAAAGTCGAATAACCGAATACAGGTAACACGTGGTCCACCACAAAATGTTCTTGTAACATTTACATTATGTAGTAAAAGGAAATTTGATGCACTCAATAGCGCGGACAAATGTCCTTGATTTGATGTTACCAATATTACATGTCAATATGTCTATCCATACATGCATCTATTTTATATAGTACTTCATTCCAAAAGTGCAAGTAGCCGAGACCAAATCATGTCTACGTGACATTCTTGTTGTCACACATTGTACATTGTTACTATTGTAGAGCAATAAAGCTCTTTAGTACACTCACTGCCATGATATGAGCAGGCGAAGGTCAAAAGGTCACGACGGTTTGAGGCGTAACCTGTAATAAATGACACAAATATTGTCGCGACATGTCAGTTTATCGCTGTAGCATATCGGTGAGGTCAGAGGGATGGAGTGTTGAATATGCGGTGTTTGCCCTTGTTCGGAAATGGTCTTTATTTGAGTAAATGAACACGAGATAAGAATCGCGGGCTTGTCCTTACTATTACGATAAATGGTGGTGACAAATATGGAATGGAATGTAGGGAAAACAGTGAATGTTTGAAGGAACCCACGATGTTGTGGTTGAACGTCAAACCTGGAAGAGTCAAACTAAAAACATACGTGTGTATAGTAATGTGTTTGATATCATAACTGTTGTAATAAAACGCCAAATAACGTTATCCATCATCATCCATAGTCATATACCATGGTTCAAGGTTTAAAATGACCTAACTGGGTTCAGAGCCCTTCTATGCACTTGACTATGCAAATAAAGTTTGCCTTCATATTTCATAGCCATCAAAAAGCCTGTTTCGTTCGGCAAGAGCATTTACAAATTAAATGTATTTCAATTTTCCACTGCATCCACTGCGCAATACTAGTACTTCCACGGTCTCTCCTGAACTGGTAGCTTTTCAGCTTGATCATAAGTAAACATAGCCGAACTTTCTGTGTTCGTAGCGCCCTCAGAAACCCTATCCCCTGTTCTTTCTCCGGAAGCTGCAGACGTGGGTTGTGTGATCCCTCACTTTGATCCACCTGCAGCGTGATTCACCACGCGTACAGCCCGGACCGTACCCGGACCGGGACCGCCATTCACACCGGCTTTACCCGGCTTAGGCCCGCCAAAACTTTCAACAAAACGCGTGCGTCAGTGGCTGGGCCGCCGGTGGTTTGTTGATGCACGGATCGCTTGCCGCGGAGTTCTGGCGTGGAGAAACAAATTTGTGCAGGACCTGGACAGGAAATGAGGGAGGTGAAGAGTTCATGGCTCCGTCCTGCTGACCAGAACAACCACTTTATAATAAGGGCCACATAACCTTCGTTGATTCATTCTATCGGTCAGGCGTTCGTATCTCATCTTTGCGGTTAAACGAAGCAGGGTTCATTCTAGTCCGGATGGGGCCATCGATAGAACTAACTAACAAATCAATTAAGTTAATCAAGCAATTAATCGATCTACATTACAAGCATCGTAAATGTTAACTGAACGTCCATAACAAAAACTTTGAAGAAAACCAAGTTACCAATGGAGGGGACCCATAATAAATTCGGGGAGACGGATCAAGTCTATCAACTGAAATAAAAGTAATTAACAATTAGATTGAAAATAAAAACGTCAGATAAAAAAGTAGAAAGAACGCTACAAAGATAATATAATTCTAAACCTGAAAGTATAAAAATATTCCGATGAAAACATCGTATTTTTATGAATCGTTGAAAAAAATACCAGCAGAAGCAAGAAAGATGTTTCCTCATCATCATCTACCGGTTCGTTACACTCATAAACACCTGTTTCCCTTAGAATCCTCCAGAGGGCGTCGTACGATCGGCTTGTGTAAATCACTGTCAGCTCGGGAAGGTTAGAGCGAGAGGAAACATTGCCGGGATGATTAGGCCTGGCACCTCTTCAAAGCAAGCACGGTTCCTGAGCGTCAAGAAAGGCGTGCCAACCCTGAGTCACCCCACAGAACTTTTAATCGGTTGTCTTGTTCCGAAACCACAGTCATTTTCGCTACAATAAATCCTGCAAATGAGGAGTAATTACAGTAAATGGGAGGATGATGTGGCGACTGTGGCCAGATGAAGGGGACAGGAAGGGCGGCAGGAATGGCGGTAAGTGGTGCCTCGGACGTCCGGTAACATGCCTGCTGTATTGACAGGGACAAAACAGATGTGGCATTCTCGGAAATAATAATCCGTTATGGAGGAATTGTAACAGAGAGACAATGTGATATAGAACTAGGAGAGATACAGAGGGAAAATTGTGCGGAATTTGAGTTTTTCGGTCCGCTCTACTCCTTGGCAACGATTTACGATACTCAAAAACGTCACTGAAGAGATAGGTTAGGAAATATAATCATGGTAATGAAACAGATTTTGTTTTAGAAATTATGAAAAATATTACAGCGTGGGTACGCAATATTACAAACAGCTGGTAAATGTTTGGGTGTGAAGATGCTTCACAGGTGAAGGGGACAAGATAAACTCTAAATCACCCAAAGATGGAAATCTATCATCAGCCTTCAGCGGCAAGAAAGAAATATTGGATGGGGGAGGGGTGCAAAACTTAGAAGAAACAACAAAAACAAGAGCATGTGGTTTCCCATTTATTCAACAGTCCCATGCATTGCACCCTTTACTAGTACATTACCTCACATATGAACAGATGTAACTTGAATAACAAGTATACATGTGATATAATTGAAACTACGAATAGGCATCACATGATTATGATTTTCTTCAGTGCAGCATGCAATTGGTTACGATTCATTTCTGTATTCTCTCAATTTGGTACTGTTGACGGTAACTAATAAAATTCATATGATACTAATCTGAGGAAGCTTTAAAGTGAACAGTTCCAAGATGCTAATAATTTTACCACATAAAACAAAGCAGCTGTTAAGTGTCATTTGTTGAGAAGTTCCGGCTAACTTCCTGAAACAGATATACACAGAAGTGTGATGTTATAGTTACAGGCCAGCTGGCATGTGGATACAAATAACATCAAACATAGACTGATAACTTTTGTTTTAACTTATAAGCGGGACTTTTTTTGCCTGTCATGAACAAAGTTGTACTTGATTGCTTTAAATACTAGTAATGTAAAATTACTTCTTGACCAAAAGTGTATTTCACTAATGTTACACATATCTTTTATTCTAACACTTACATTTGCTGATCTACTCAAGTATCAAACAACAATGGCATTTGAAGAGAATAAGTCAAATGGTTATCTTTCTGTTTTCGTAACAGTCAAGAAAGTGAAGACTGTTTTGAGGTTGCAGACTCCCATTAAATCTCAAACAGAATGATGTGACATTGCTTTCCTGCAAAATACATTACAAATACTTATGCTTCACAATTTCTCTGCTCTATCTGGCATGATATAAAATGACTATTATAGTAGTGACATAAAACAAACCCTAGCTGTTTCATGTTTAACTGTACAGTAATCATTGGGAACATGTAAGACCTTCACTTAGAAAGAGTGTTGAAGTCTATGTATGAATTTCTTGGAAAAAACAATGATTGATTTGACATAAGCTTCACCCACATTTTTAAACATGGCAAGTCCAGAAGATTAACTTCCCCTTTCACGAATAGGTACAAATGCACAAATACCAAGCAATGTTCCGAACTGTCACCCCCTTTACAACAATAGAAAGATCCAAATTCAGTGACAGACTGGATGCTACCACCGAAATGCAGGGGTGTTGAGTGATGTTTGGAGCCTGGTTGTTATTGGCCTTCGCTCCTCTGTGATGGTTTCAGGTACTTCATCTCGATGATATCAAAGATGTCTTCTTCTGAGCTGACAGGCAAGGCTTCCCCTGGCACACCTGTGAAGTACGGAGAAGGAAAAATTAGATACTGTGTAACAGTACTATATAACAAAAACATTCAATTACTTATGTAACAAGTAACAAGAAACATATACTAGTATTTCACACATTTCCAAGTGCAAAGAATACTTGTGATGCATTAAGAATACTAGTATAAGATATGCTTCATAGTAAAGCATAATTTTCAATCCCCAAAAAAGATATTACAAT